ATGTAAAGGTGCAGAATCCCAATGATGAATGTAACTGTACTGTATACCTAGATTGTACCAATAACCTCAATAAAAAGAAAAAAAATTTTTTTTAAATGAATTCTTTATTGAGCGTGTATCCGTGTATCGTGTGCCTTACTTACTGTGTGCTAGGCACTATGCTAGGAAAGAACAAAGGAAAAAGGGAAAGTTATTTATTTGTGTTTGAAGCAGGGTCTCTCTATGTAGCCCAGGCTGGCCTGGAACTCGCAGCGACCCTCCTGCCTCAGCCTCCCGAGTGCTGGGATCACAGGTGTGCACCGCCGTGCCCAGCTGGGTAGGCTTTCTGCTTCCTGGAGGCTGACGCGACTGTCTGCCTACTTCAGGCTGCTCTGACTGGACAGCAGTGGCTGCAGCACAGAGTTGGTGCCTTGGCCATTTCCAGAGTTGAAATTAAGGAGGGCAGAAGCTTGATGAGAAAGAGCCTAGTGTGAAAGGTCTGAAGGTGAGCAGAAGGTTACACCTACTGCATTTGGTTTCTCCCTGGAGAATGAATCGAAGTTGAGAGCTGGAAAGGAAGCTGGCACTCACCTGTAATCCTAGTACTCAGGAGGCTGAGGCAGGAGGATCGCAAGTTCAAACATAGCCTGGACAACTCAGCAATTTAGAGGTACCCTGTCTCAAAGTATAAAATAAGGAAAAGGGTGGGGATGGAGCTCCATGGTAGCGTGGCCTAGTGTATGTGCAAGACCACAAGTTCCTTCTTGGGCACCACGCACACACACACAAAAAAGGAAGCAGTGTTGACCCTTAGCGCCCACCCCACCCATAATTTGACTGTCTACTAAAATCTGCGCTACAGGACCTCCTGTGGGGACGGGGACAGATGCGCTTGACAGCATAGGGCTGCACAGAGGGTGAGCAGGGCTGACTGAGGCAGGGTGGTCTGAGGGGCAGCGTTTTAGTAATGTTTAATGACAAGCTGCTGTGGGAATGGCAGATGCAAAGGTCCTGGGGCCCCCAGTGCGGTCCTGGGTGCGACTTTGGCATTGAAACAAGATTGGAGAGAGCTGCAGAATCCAAGAAGGCTTACTGTTTCTAAGGGCTGTGCTCCAGCGGATTATCAGAGACTACAATCCCACTTAGGGGCTGAGAGTGTAAGCTGAGGGGTAGTCAGGTGCTCGGCTTGGGGAAGGCCAGTTGTGGAATCCCCATAACCAAACCAAAAAGGAAGAAACAGAAACAAAAAGAAAAAGAAAAAGAAATTACAAAATAAAAAGGAAGGAAGAAAGAATCCACTACACTGAGAATTGAATGAAACAGGGTGGGTGGCACACGTCTGTACTTCCAGCATTTGGGAGGCTGAGGCAGGAGGATCGCTGCAATTTTGAGGCCAGCCTGGGCTACAGAGTGAGACCGTGTCTCAAAAAGCAAAAAGGAACTGAATCAAGCTGTAAAAGAGTGGGTGGGATATTCCATCCAGGGTTGAAACAGAAGCCAGGTGTGTGTGTGGCGGGGTGAAGAGATGGCAGAGAGACCAGAGTCCCTTCCTGAAGCACAGCCCGTCATGCTGCTGTCTCCTACATAATCACTGAGCAGTCACCCGCAGGGGCTCCTAATTTATTTGAGATGTCGGAGAAACAGCAGCAGACAACACTGAGAAAGTTCTGGAGTTCCCAGGGGTGAGGGAGGAAGAGAAAATGAGACACAGGAGTGTGTGTTTGGCAGGCAGAGAGAGGTGCTACAGCAGAAACTACAGATCCCAAGTTCGGGAGCTTGCTTAGCTCCTGTGAGGCCCTGGGTTCTACCCCAGCACTGCAACACATTCATTCACTTATTTAGCAAGAAATTTCAAAAAGAAAAATGAGTGCGGTGAGGCACGAAGAGCCTTCAGGTGGCCAGAGCAGCAGATGCCAAGGCCCTGAGGTCAGCGTGTGCAAATAGAGGCGGCCTGGGAAGCTGAGGGAACACAGTGAGAAAAGTGGAGAAGAGGCGGCCGCAGAGAGGGCGGGAGGGGTGACAGATCCCAAAGAGGAACTTGGCATGGGACTGACGCCTGGGGTGGACATTGCTGGCCCTGGAAAAACAGGGAGGAGGGGAGGGCAAGGGGGACCGTGGCCACTTCCGGGTCCAATGGGGCAGGAATTCTGCAGAAAGGGGCTCAGGGATGAACAGAGAGGAGAGCTTACTGGGAACCGAACCCGGAAGTGAGTAGAGAGGCACAGCCAAGAAGCTCCAGGTTGCATCGAGTTCCCTGCACAAAATAGGATTTAAGTTTCTTTGTTTGACTGAGACAGGGTCTCGCGATGTAGCTTAGGGTGGCCTTGAACTCACTGTGCAGCACAGGCTGGGCTTGATCTCACAGGGATCTTCCTGCCTCAGCCTCCTGAGTGCTGGGATCATAGACAGGGTGTATTTAATCGATTATGTTGTTTACGGGGATGCTGCACATGGAAACTGGGCTTTGTGTGGACTAAGCACGTTCTTTACCACTGAGCTGCGCCCCTGGCCCTACATCTGCTTAATTTTAATTATGTGCATATTTTTGTTTTTCTAATTAAAAAAAACTGAGAGTGCTAAGTCTAAATGATAAAGTTATAAATGGAGAAATGGTTATTCTATTTAATGGAATGAAGTGTCACCAGATTACAGAATTAAAATAAAGCCAATTAGGATCATTAGACTAAAAAAAAATATAGCTGGGTGAGGTGGTCCATGCCTGTAATCCCAGCTGCTCAGGAAGCTGAGGCAGGAGGATGGCAAGTTGGAAGCCAGCCGGGGCAGTTTAGTAATTTAGGAAGACCCTATTGCAAAATTTAAAAAGGGCTGGAGATGTAGCTCAGAAGTAATGTGCCCCCGAGTTCCACCCTAGGTGCTGAAAAAAAATAAAGTTATAAAATAGTAGCAATAGTAAGCTATGTTTTTTTAAGACAAATGTAGACAGAAAAATTAATGGAGAGCCAGGGATTTAGCTCAGTGGTGCTGCGCTTGCCTCACAAGCACAAGGTCCTGAGTTCGATCCCTGGTACCAAAAAAAAAAAAAAAAAAAAAAAGGAGGCAAAAATTAATGGAGAAAGGCAGTTCGTAATTATCCCACCACTTATGAGGCCGAGGCAGGAGGATCGCCTGGGTTACATAGTGAGTTCAAGGCCAGGTTGGAAGGCATAGCAAGACCCTGTCTCAACAAAACAAATGAATATTAAGCCAGGCTGGGTGATTTGCACCCATAGCACAAGCTACTTCAGAGAGGCTGAGACTGGAGGATCACGTGAGCCCAAGAGTTCAAGATCAACCTGGGCAGCATGCTGAGACTCTCTCTAATTTCTTCTTATTTTACATTTCCTGGTTGTGTTGCTATTCACAGAACTCCAGGCTTTCTGTAGACTTCCCCAGCCTCCCACACTGCGTCCTCTCCCCCTGCGTCCTCTCCCCCGTCCTCTCCGCTGCGATGGCCCAGTCGGTCCTCGCGGACTGTGCCTTCACGTGGGAAAGTCTGGTGGCCTGCAGTTAAGAGATTCAGGAGGAGACCGCGGACCAGAGTGGAAACATTAACAAAGCCATGTGGTATCCAGGTGACAGCTGACTGTCACCTGGACCCGCCCCTTGGTGGCATCTGCTGGGCGTCCGCCTTTTGAGGCTCTTTGGGTGGCAGTCACCAGGCCCAGTCCACTCTCAAATGGGGGTGGGGTGGGATAGCAACTAAACTCCCTTGGCTGGGCGTGTTGACACGCCTGTCATTCCAGCCCTCGGCGAGGCTGAGGCAGGAGGATTTCAAGTTTAAACCTATCCTAGGCCACTTAATCTAGAGAGAACCTGCCTCAAAATAAAAAATAAAAAGGGCTGGGGATGGAGCTTAGTGTGAAGGTCCTGGGTTCCGTCCCCCAGTGCTGAAAAGAAGAAGAAAGGAAAGTTCCTGTTGGCTGTTCCTGGAGCACATATGTGTGTGCATGAGGGTGAGCATGAGGGTGAGTGTGGAAATTCTAGGGATTATTATTATTATTATTATTATTATTTTATAGACAGGGTCTCACTATGTAGTTGAGACTGACCCGGAACTCACTGTGTAGCCCAGGCTGGTCTCAAACTCACAGCGATCCTCCTGCCTCAGCCTCCCGAGTGCTGGAATCATCCATCTTATAACCCAGGGGACTGCGCAGGAGGGTGTCAGACCTTAGAGCTTGGCCTTGCTCCTCCAGTGCTTCCGAGGGGACTGTGGCCCAAGGGCTCCCAAGTGTCCCAGGCAGGTGGCAACTCTGGGGAGGAGGAGGAGCAGGAGGAGCAGGAGGAGGAGAAAATGAGTCCCGGACGACTCCCTCTGGCCTGGAATCTCAGCCCCAGGGCGTGGGGCTGGGCCCTCCTGGGCCTCCTGGGCCCAGGTCGCAGCCCAGTGGGCGGGACACCGGCTGGACCGCGGGGTGGCAGGTGAGCTGGGGGAGGGGAGAGTGTCGCTCTGCCTTTGTCACCCACTTCCTGTCTGTCACCGGGTTGGGGTTGGGGAGTATTAGTGTCACCCACTGCCACGGCTGGCCGTGTGACCCGGGTCATGTCACTCATCCTGTCTGAGCCGGTACCACTGCGCTGGATGAGGGTTCCTCTATCCCGGTCACCCAGAACCCTGGGAGGCTGAGGCAGGAGGATCTCAAGTTTGCTCCCAGCCCGGGCAACTTAGCAAACAACTTAGCAGGCACGGAAGGGATTTGGTCGTGAGTGTCCAGGGGACAAGTCTGGGCCGTATCCCAGGCGGAAGAGGGAGCTGGGAGGTGAGAAGGAAGCCACACCCTGCAGTGCCGGGCCCTGCTGCCCTCGCTGAGACTCTGCGTCCCCGGAAGGCCCTGCAGGCAGCTGCTGGAGGTGTTGGGGGCAGAGGGGGCAGTCACGTGGCTCTGTCCCCAGGGGCCGCCCGCCTGGGTTCCTCC